TTCTGGCGCTAACTGCATCTTGACCAAGAGCACTACAGATGTTTTTTGCAGCCTCACTTGCTTTTCTTCCTAATTGGAACTCGTAAAGCATGCAGTGCCGAATATGCTCTTCATCTGCCATCTTCTTAGCCCTAGTTTTGCAACAAAAACCAAACCAAACACAAACTTTTTCAAGCAAAACTTGTTAATTGCACTTCACACGTTCTGTAGATACCATGTGTTTGAAGGTTATGTCAATACAAGTCAACGCCAAGCAAGATTTTAAACGAATGTTTAAAAACGACATTAATTATTACTAGACCCGATAGATCCAGAGAAACATGGAAGCATGCATCAGACTGAGGAATCTCAGAGGGAACATAAGATGGGAAAAACGATACTACTACCTCAGAAGGATCATGTTATGTACTATTTTTTAAAATCAGGGGTGAAAAATGTAGCTGCCCATACAACAACAGCAAGATGCTTTTCACTGGCTTTAAAAGTATGGTCACTGGTGCATGCAGCGTCCCAGATTGTGAGAGGGAGTCTAACTGTCGGTTTAGGCCTGACATCCCCCCAGGGGCCCAAGGGGTCCTGGATTGCGAGAGGATGCAGGCTAGGCTGAGGGACTCTTCCCCTGCACCCCATCGTGCATAAATTTTGTGAACCGGTTCTCTAGTTTAATAATAAAAAGAAATGAAGTACTGACACATGCTGTAACACTCAGTGTTTCCCAAAGTGTGGTACACATAGAGTTTGGTGGGGGTACGCGTTGCACCGGAGTTTGGTGGGGATATGCACTGCACCGTGCTTAGCTGCGCCTAATTCTATGTTCTCATGAGTACAAGGGGGACTCAGCGTTACGAAAATTATAGAAGGGGTACACATATGTCAAAAGTTTGGGAAACACTGATGAAAACATTATGCTAAATGAAAAACAACAGTGACAATAAAAGCATATTTTATATGATTTCATTTATATGAAATGTCCCAAAGAAGCAAATCTAAAGAGACAGAAAGTGGATTAATAGTGGCTTAGGCTTGGGAGTATGGGGGAAAGGAGGAGTGACTATTAATGGTAACGGGGTTTCTGCATGGAATGATAAAAATGTTCTAAAGTTGATTGTGGTGATGGTTGCACAACTCTGTAAATAAATAAAAACCACTGAATTATACACTTTAGGTAAACTAAAGTTTCATAAATTTTATAAATACCTAAATTTTATTTCAGTAAAACTGTTAGAAAATGGTATTTGTCATCTCAGAATGGTAAATACTACTAAATTATTTATTTATATATATGTATATATATATTTGTAATTTCCAAATTTTTGGCAATGACTAGGTATTATTTTCACATAGCTAAGGAAAAAATTAATTATTTTTCAAAGTGCTTCTTGTGAAAACTAGAGTGATATTACATTATTAAGTTCTGATGGAGTTGCCACTTGTATTCATTTAGTTATTCATTCATTACACACCTTGAAGAATTGTTTTAGCAGAAGAAAAATTCTAACTCCAAGTCAACAAATTACAACAACTTAACAGATAAGACTCTTCTGTTAACTTCAAAAGATAAATTATATATCACATCACCAATGACTTCGCTGGTGTGATGACTTGGGGAGAGTGAAGAGGGAAGTAGAAATAAGGAATAGTCTTAATTTTGCAGCAAAGGTTATATTCATTTATGTTATGTCAAAACGTTTCAAATTCTTCATTAAAATGGTTTTCAAATTTTAAAACTCATTTTTAATATTAAAAATAAAATCACTGCAACACTTTAATAGCAGAAAAGGTATACCAAAAATTCAATCAGCAACAAGGGGAAATACCTCAAAAACACTGGGAATCATTTCTTTAAAATACTTCTGGCTGTCAGGTCAATCATTAAAACAATCTTTATATAAACTGCTAGCAAAAAAACTCCAAAAATTAAAGCAAGGCAAGTTAAAGGAATTCCTTGGAAATAGTTTGCATTGAAGCTGAAAAGAACATATGGAGGATGAGTTATTTCAATAACATTTAGGTAATACTAGCTGAAAATTAAACACTCTATCATAATCTCCAAGGATAGTAACTTTAGAAGGTTTCTAGGAAGTGGTCTCATCTAAATTGTTTTGTAGAAGAGAAAACAAGGCATCTATATTTTGAAAAACTGCACTGGCTATACTGATGTGCATCCAAAGTTAATGATCACTGTATAAATCAATACCCCTCGAAGGAAATAAGAGAATGAAAAGTCTGTTCCGTTTTAAAAATTATAAACAATGCAGCAAACACATTAGAGTGAGAAAAACTTGAGAGCAAGGAGAGTACACACTTGAACTGGGAAAGCAGAAAGTACTTTGGAGAGAAGGGCTGGAGTCAAGAGCCAACTCATACAGCAGAATCTATAGGACCAAATAGCCAAGTATCGATAGCTGTGGAGAATGAAGAAGAAATAAAAGGCAAAAATGATTGTAAGAAAGCCAGTTTAAAAAACCAGATGGCTAGTGATGCCATTAACCAATAAATGGAAGGAAAAAGAAATAAAAGAAGCTGTTTTGAAAGTTAGTTACTAGAAAAAAGGTTCAAGGAGATTAAAGGTTTTTTGTAATGTTTTACTACATAAGTTGGATAATAAATATATAGATATTGACTTTATTATCCTTTTTTAACTGAACAAACAAATAACATACAAAATTCAACTAGAAACAAAGGGTCAAAAACTCACTAGGGATCACTGCTTTTATACACCTTTGTATCTAAGATATAGGTAATAATTTCTATTTTTTATTATTATTATTATTTAATATATTTTATTGATTTTTTACAGAGAGGAAGACAGAGGGATAGAGAGCTAGAAACATCGATGAGAGAGAATCATCCATCAGCTGCCTCTTGCACATCCCCTACCGGGGATGTGCCCGCAACCAAAGTACATGCCCTTGACCGGAATCGAACCTGGGACCTTTCAGTCCGCAGGCTGATGCTCTATCCACTGAACCAAACTGGTTTCGGCTAGGTAATAATTTTTAAAAAGGGAAACAAAAAAAGGAAGGTGGAGGTAAGGAATTTGGTTTTAGACCTAAATTATTTGCAGAACTGAAGAACTATATCACTCAGAGATAGAAACTAGAGAAAAATATTTGGAAATGATTAGCATACAAAAATAATGCCACGGACGCCATGGATATAGATGAGAACTCTCCAGGAGAATTTGTGGAAGACTGTTTGGCTTATGTCCATAGCGAAGGGCCAACTAAAAGGAGAGTCAATTGAGACTGAGAATAATCAAAGGGATAGAAGCTTTTACTAATTCCATTTCCCAAAAGCATACAGAAAGATATCAATTTAAAAAATAAAGAAGTTACTCTTTATGGTTATCTTACTTAGTGGCAGGCAGGTCCAGAATTTCCAGATAGCTGGAGTTACAGAAGTAATCTGTGGGGAGGAGGGCTTAAAGATGCTTTTGCATAGTACTACATTAAGTCAGAAAATACTAATTGTCCGTATCAAAAAATCAAGGGAAAGAGGTTTCAGGAAAGTATTTCCCCTCCCCTTTAGGACCACCATTGGTATACTGTAAGCACGGCACCAAATGTGTTACCGAATCTTTCAATCCTCCTATCTTTTTTTCTCCCTTCATTTTAATAAACAGACTTTACTTTTAGAGCAGTTTTAGACTCGTAGCAAAATTGAGCAGAAAGTACATAGAGTTTCCATATAACCCCTTGACCCCCATATATGTATAACCTCCTCCAGTATCAACATCCTCTTAATAAGCTTATTAGGTAATGAAGAAACTGAGGCTAGATGGAATTGCTTAATCAGGATCACAAATCTCTGTACCTCTCACCTGTATTCCCACAGCTGTCCTGGCTCCTATATGTTTCTAGAGTTTCTCATTACTCATCTAGACACAGAATATTTTTACATGCTTCTCTTTTATTGTACTGTTAGCTCTTCAATGATAAGAGTTTGTGTCATTCATCTCTGTATCCCTATAGCTAATCATGGGTAAATATTTTGTTGAATTAAGCACATGAAAAAAAAAAAAAGTGGGTGAGAACAGCATCAAGAAAGCCAATAGGAGAAGTAGTTTCAAGAAATGGATGGGTAATAGTGTAAATGCTACGGAGAGCCATCAGTACACCGTAAATCATCACTGACATTGAACTGATATCCCTTATTCACATACTGCCCGCCTGCTATCGGCGGGACTATGTGTTAAGCACAATGAACACGAAAATATAAAATCTGGGACACGTCAAAAGACCGTCGGGGAAGCAGTCATTAACTACATTCTTCATAAGGACAGCAAATCAAAGATTCAGGCCTGCAATTGCCTACACCTGTTATTCGGCTCGAGTAAACCTGAAGTCCGCTTAAAAGGGTCTCAGCTTATCTTTCCATAAAACTTCTGATGGGCTAAATGAGGCGGAAAGGGGCCAAAGCCCCGCGGCATGGGTGATGACAGCAGGTGGCCAAGGCCAGTGGGCTCTCCCGGAGCCTCTCACCTCCTAAGCGGGGTGGGGGCCGCGGCCAGCTGCCAGTCTGGGGCGGGAAAACACAGACACTTACCTCAAAAGCACCTCTACGGCCGTGGCCCGAAGGGGCCGGGAACGCCTTCGCGAGGCCCCACGCCGCGGGGTTAATCGGAAGGAAGCCGGGACCAGACGGGGAGGTACGACGCCACACACCGACTTTCCAAACTCTCTAAACGAGGAGTCCCGGAGCCCGGCGCCGCGACGCCAACTCCCACCAGCTGGAAGCCCGACGACTGCCACCGAACCTTCCGCCCAATGAGGAAACGTCACCACTCGGGGGAGTCCAGCCTTTCTAGGGGAGGACGCACTTCCGCTTCCGGGGCACCCGCGGCGTTCCTTCACTGCGTGGACACGGTACCTGGGGATGTTCCTTTACTCCCACGGACTTGAGACGCTCGCTCTCTATCGCTCAACACCTGCGGCAGCAAAGTTATTGAACGAGGAGGCGACCTCAGGAAAGAAGTCTGGCCTCGAGGAGCCGCCTTAAGGGAAAGGGACTAAGCTGAGCAATACTTAAGGGGAACGGTGAGAGCGGAGGGTGCGCTCAAGTATAGGAATTCCTCGCGCCCCGGAGAACTGCAACCAGGGGGCGGGGCTTAGGGCGACGTAACAGCTGCCGGTCTCTGCGTGCGCGTGCGCTGTGCGCACCTTCCCAGCGTGGTGTTCTGCTGCAACATGGAGTTCAGCTCCGCGCGGCAGGCAATACTGCAACTACTCCGAACCGTGGCTCCGGCAGACCTCCCCGCTCTGCTCGAGTGGATGCGAACTTCCCGTAAGCAATCAGAACCAGAGGCAGGCGGTTGGGTCAAGGATATGTATGCTATGAGGACTGACTTTGGGGATTTAGGGTGAGGCCAGAAGCCACTCTTGGGGGATCTCTACTCTGCTGGAAGGGTCTGGTGGAAGAGGACACGTCTCAAATGTTGGCAGGTCGAGAGTCCAGTTTGGGATCAGGTGCACGACGATGGAGGGCTGGCTCTGGGTGGTTTGTGATTGCGCTGCAGACTTCGGACAAGCCGTTAGAGGCTCCTGGTGCCTAACCCTTTTCCTGAAGGAGGAAGAGGGAGGCGGGTGGCCTCACCCCTCCCCCTCATTGCTCCCACAAACTTGTGACAACCAGTAGCGTGCTACCCGAAAAAGCACTTTGTAAGGGAAGTTTTAGGCTGTAGAGCTGAAAGTTTCACCCTGCAGGCAGAATCATTTTTTCAATTGTAATATGGACCATTGATGTAATAACATTTTTTTGGTGGGGAGGGGGAGAAATGGGGAAAAGGCTGATTTTAAACTTTTAACAAAACTAGTAACAGTAATATCAAAAAGCACAAGTTAGCGCTCTCCCTCTCCGAGCACGTGGTGCCTTTCCCTTCCTTCCCACCCCCTGGCTCCTTACCTTAAGCTTCTCACTCCCAAGCTCCAGGGACTCTTCCTTTACTTCCACAACTTGTTTCCTAAGCCCATTTCTTCAAGGAATTACGTTTTCTATCTCTAATTTACCCAATAAACGTTCTCTTACAAAAATAAAAGGCGCAAGTCAGAATCGAGGAAATTTAAAATACGTCTAGTTATTGAATAATGTAGTGATCATTTTACACAAGTTAAAGCTTGGTGAATGCACAAGAAAATTGAATGTTGCTTGTTTGGGAAGTAAGCCAAATCATACTATGCCAAAACATTGATTCCCATGTTTATTTTCATCCAGACTCATGACTTGAAATACCTGTTTGTTAACGACTCCCAATTTTAGACTTTTAATCCTCACTTCTTCCTGGAATTCTCTATGTGATGTTAGAGTCGATCACTAGGTTTGGGTATTATTATTTATTATTACACATTTGGGGATGTCATTTTATAGAAGATGCCAAATTACAATAAACTTGGACATCAGATAGTAAGATTTTAGCCTGGAAAGCAGTGAAAACCAGAGATTTAGCTTCATATTTATACTCACATACACAATTCAAGATAGGAATACCCAAGATGTGCTGAGACCCCTGTCACTTTATTTAAACCCTGTATTGCCAGTTTTATTCATCATATTCCCTTGTTTACAAAACAGTACCAATTTCCACTTGTTTGTGTGTTGTTTTTTCCTACGTTCAAAAGCTCTGAGTGCCTACAAAAGGGTCATCTATGCCTGATTCTGGCCATTGCACATAGGCCAAAAATCCTTGCCATCAAAGATTTAATTTCTTTGGAGCCATTTGAAGTCTAAATCTCCACTTTTAGAGGCATCAAATGAGACTATATTTTTCAAAATCAGAAAAAATTCAAGCGTGTTTTAGAAGATAATTTTATAAACAAGAAGACCAAATTACACTGGCCAAAGAATACATTTTTGCTTTTTAAAAAATATATTTTTTTATTGATTTCAAAGAGAAGGGAGAGGGAGAGATCGGCTGCCTCCTGCATGCTTCCTTATAGGGGATCAAGCCTGAAACAGGGCATATGCCCTTGACCGGAATTGAACCCAGGACTCCAGTTCACAGGTGGATACTCTATCCATTGAGCCAAATCGATAAAGGCCATTTTCACTTTATTTATTTATTTATTTATTTATTTAAAGTATTACAGATAGTAGTACATATGTCTCCTCCCCCCCCCAAATTGACCTTACCTCAGCCTCCTCTACCCCTCAGCACATACCCTCACCCCCCTCCCAGTGTCTTGCATCCATTGGTTATGCTAATATGCATGCATACTTGTCCTTTGGTTTTTCTCTAGCACGCCCCCCCCCCCCCCCCCCCCCCCGCCCTCCTCAGCCTTCCCACCATCGTTTGAGTCTGTTCCATGCTTCTCTGCTTCTGTACCTATTTTTGTTCATCAGTTTATAATGTTCTTTATTACCCATAAATGAGTGAAATCGTGTGGTATATTTCTTTCTCTGACTCACTTATTTCACTTAGCATAATGCTCTCCATCCATGCTGTTGCCAACTGTAAGAATTCCTTCTTTTTTATAGTAGTGTAGTATTCCATTGTGTAGATGTACCACAGTTTTCTAATCCACTCATCTGCTGATGGGCATTTAAGCTGTTTCCAAATCCTAGCTAATGTAAATAGTGCAACTATGAACATAGAGGTGTATATATCCTTTCTGATTGGTGTTTCTCTTTTCTTGGGATATATTACTAGAAGTGGTATTACTGAGTCAAATGGCAGTTCCATTTTTAATTTTTTGAGGAAACACCATACTGTTCTCCACAGTGGCTGCACCAGTCTGCATTCCCACCAGCAGTGAAGGAGGGTTCCTTTTCTCTGCATCCTCTCCAGCACTTGTCATTTGTTGATTTGTTGATGATAGCCATTCTGATAGGTGTGAGATGGTACCTCATTGTTTTGATTTGCATCTCTCCGATGATTAGTGACTTTGAGCATGTTTTCATATGTCTCTTGGCTTTCTGAATGTCCTCTTTTGAAAAGTATCTATTTAGGTCATTTGCCCATTTTTTGATTGGGTTGTTAATCTTCCTTTTGTTAAGTTGTATGAGTTTCCTGTAAATGTTGGAGAGTAAACCCTACTGGAGATAGGATTGGCAAATATGTTCTTCCAGGCAATGGTCTTTCTTGTTGTTTTGTTGATGGTTTCTTTTGGCTGTGCAGAAGCTTTTTTTTTTTTTTGTAGTCCCATTTGTTTATTTTCTCTTTAGTTTTCATTGCCCTAGAGGAGCTGTATTGTTAAATATATTGCTACAACAAATGTCTGATTTTTGCTGCCTATGGCTTCTTCTAAGATTTTTATGGTTTCCCATCTTATGTTTAAGTCCTTTAACCATTTTGAGTTTATTTTTGTGTATGGTGTAACTTGGTGGTCTAGTTTTTTTTTGTTTTTTTTTGTTTGTTTGTTTGTTTGTTTTTTTTGCAAGTAGCTGTCCAGTTTTCCCAACACCATTTATTGAAGAGACTATCTTGACTCCACTGTATGGTCTTGCCTCCTTTGTCAAATATTAAGTGAGCATAATGTCTTGTGTCAATTTTTGTGTTCTCTCTTTTGTTCCACTGGTCTATATGTCTGTTCTTGTGCCAGTACCAGCTGTTTTGAGAACAGTGGCTTTGTAATACAGCTTGATATCTGGTATTGTGATTCTTCCAACATTGTTCTTTCTCAAGATTGCTTCAGCTATTCTGTGTCTTTTTTATTCCAGATGGATTTTTGGAGAACTTGTTCTAGGTCTTTGAAGTATGCCATTGGTATTTTAATGGGGATTGCATTGAATTTATAGATTGCTTTGGGTAGTATGTACATTTTAATGATGTTGATTCTACTAATCCATGAACATGGTATATTTTTCCATTTGTTCTTGTTTTCCTCTAGCTCTTTTTCAGCGTTCTGAAATTTTCTGAATACAGGTCCTTTATCTCCTTGTTATGTTTATTCCTAGGTATCTTAATTGTTTTGTTATAATGGTAAGTGGGATTGCTTTTTTTTAATTTCTCTTTCTGTGAGTTCATTATTGTTGTATAGAAAAGCTATAGACTTCTGGGTGTTAATTTTGTATTCTGCTACATTGCCGAATTCATTTATTAAGTCTAGTAGTTTTTTGATGGAGTCTTTGGGGTTTTCTATGTACAATATGTCATCTGCGAATAAAGACAGTTTTACTACTTCTTTTCCAATTTGGAAGCCTTTTATTTCTTCTTGTCTGATTACAATGGCTAGTACTTCCAGTACTCTGTCGAACAGGAGTGGTGAGAGTGGGCATCCCTGTCTTGTTCCTGTTCTTAGTGTAAATAGTTTTAGTTTTTGCCCATTGAGTATGATGTTGGCTGTGGGTTTGTCATATATGGCTCTTATTATGTTGAGGTATGATCCTTGCTGAGGGTTTTTAACAAGAAAGGGTGTTGGATTTTGTCAAATGCTTTTTCTGCATCAGTGGATATGATTATATGGTTTTTATCTCTCAGTTTGTTTATATGGTGTATCACATTTATTGATTTGTGGATATTGTACCATCCTTGCATCCCCGGAATAAATCCCACTTGGTCATGGTGTGTGAACTTTCTAATGTACTGCTGGATTTGATTTGCTAGAATTTTGTTAAGGATTTTATTAAGGATTCATGAGGGATATTGGCCTATAATTCTCTTTCTTTGTATTGTCTTTATCTGGTTTTGGAATTAGGATAATACTGGCCTCATAAAAAGCTTGGAAGTGTTCCTTTCTCTTAGATCTTTTGGAATAGTTTGAGGAAGATAAGTGTTACTTCTTTGAATATTTGGTAAAACTCCACTGTGGAGTCATCTGGGCTAGGGCCTTTATTTCCTGGGAGGTTTTTTGGTTTTAATTTATCTTTCTTGTTGAAAGTATTATATTGAATATATTAGGTCTAGTAATAATTAATGTCGTTTTCTAATACTTTTTTAAATCAAATTTATTTAAACAATACAACAAAATTTAATCAACAATATAGTTGCCGTTGTTTTCTACTACTTGTGCCCAACACTCAGGAAGCATTTTAATCCCTCTGTTGTAAAATTCTTGTGATTTTGATGCCAAAAATTCGGTCAATGCATTTTTGAGGCATTCTTCATTATTAAATTTTTTTCCAAGAAGAAAGTTTTGCAAAGAACGAAACAAATGGTAATCGGAAGGGGCAATATCAGGAGAATATGCAGGTTGAGGGAGAACTTCCCATTCCAACTGACGCAGTTTTTCAGCAGTGATTCTTGCAGTATGCGGTCGTGCGTTATCGTGGTGAAGAATTACGCCCTTCCGATTAATCAGCGCGGGTTCTTTTTCTCTTAAAGCTTGGGCTAACCTTTCCAATTGGGCACT